CAATACTAGTATTAGTTATTTTGATAAATCGTAGCCAACAATTTTTGAACTTCCAGAAAGAAAGTCGTTTCCAAAAAATGTTTCGACGATCGGCAAAAAATGAAGCCATACAAAAGTTTACTAAACTAGGTCAAAATACGCTTCCAAGTAAAACGCTACAAATACTAGTAAATACTTTTTTTACCTTTGCCATCGGATGTTTCTCTCAGCCACGTATATTTTGTTGTCCATTGTGCATCAAATCCAGAGTTTATTTTTTTGCACCTTTCGTTGTAACATATACCGTTTTTATACGCCTACCCACTTTCAATAAACTATTCATTTTCTTGTTGTAAATCATGCCTTTTGAAAAAAAGCTTCAAAGTGACAAATAGCATTCTAAAAACATTATGAGTTATGGGAGTGATTTCATTTTGTTGAGAAGTAATTTGGCATGTGTAAAACAAAAAAAGTTTTTTTTTTTAGCTCTCCTAAGCGTAATTTTGCGCAATCGAATTGCTCGCTCATCGTAATTAAAAAGAAAGGTGTGGTATATATGTGTTTGGACCATGGATTACATTCATTTAGCATTTTTGTTTTAATAGCAAGTCCCTATAAGAAAATGAACTGTAACTGGCAATATATACTGTGTCAAAATATTGGGGGTTGAGAAAGCAGAATATGGGGTATACGGTAAACTCTAGTTTGGACAAAGTCAAAAATCACATTTTTGTGAAAGTGAAATTTACACCTGCATGATATATTAAACACAACATGACTCATTTTATGTTATGCAATGCATAGACAGGTTTAACCGTTTGAGCGCTAAACTTTTTCCCACTTAAAATGGGGTCAATTTGTTCACATTTTCGTGAATTTTCACTGAATTCAATAATAATTTTGTACCAAACAGTCTAAATGTGACATTACTTCTAGTTTTTGATCAAAAAATATGAAATTTTACTTAATATTTTTTCATGGAAAAGAGCAGACTTATAAATGGAATAATTCTGTGAATGGTGCCTGAAGTTGACTGTGGCACTCGGAGACATTCACTGTTTTGATGTTTTGAGCAATTTCCCTGGGTTTTAATAGAAACAATGAGTTCATGTTGATTTAATTTAGCCAATTTCACTTATTAATGAAATAGTGAAATTAAAAACATGCATTTACAGTAGTTTACGTGCTATAAACTACCAATAAGGATTACGAGTATTGTATGTAAACTTTTCAAATAGTTCATGATCTCTTTGCTGTTGGAGAGAACACAATCAATTATTGTGAACGTAGCCTGCTACTGAATTTTACAAACACAACTGACGAGAAATCCCAATCTCGGCATGTTGTTGGTGTTCTGTGAAAACAAAATCATGACATTTTGAATTTTGCAGTGAATTCAGTAGTATATGCTTCATTTCCATCTATTGATTGTGTTCTCACCATTGAAGGGTGGGAATAAATTTATCTCACTAACTGTAGTGAGAGAGAAAATGTGCACAGTCCTCTAGCGTGTAAAACCATTGCATCATTTATTTTTTATATTTTTTTTTATTTTTACGTTAATCACATTTATAAATACATTTATAAATAAATTATCCCATCAAAAGAGTACAATTTTTACACAAAACCATGGTAACAAGATAATTATAAGAATACAAAGTTTCTTAATGAATTTCTTAATGAATTACGTAATGAGCATGGTCTGTTATGCAACATTATGCTCTGTCGGTCTTGTCAATATTTTCTCTAGAAATTGTTTGAAAATAACACTTGTAAAAATCTGCAGCAGTATTTGAATTAAGAACTTAACCCTTATTACGATGAAACTTTGAATGATAATTAGAATACAGATGAGTGGAAATAAACCATATAAAATCAATGAACTCTTGGAGCATAACAGAGTGCAAGGTGTAAGTTCATAACCTCAATTATGGATTACCTAATTGAATTCAGTTGCAATCCCATCACTGTGTCCAATACTTTTATACCTTTTGACTCAAGGTATCTGTTATCCAAGTCTTCTATCAACAAAGTAGCTTCCACATGGAAGCATCGGTGTCCATTTTAGAACAAAATAATTAATTTGTCCAAAAAATATGCAAAACACTGTCAAAATGATCAGAGACAATGCTATATGTTTTAACGAAATTTATCGTCTCCTGAAACTTTGCAGTGAATAACATGGGGCCCACAGGACCACATCACAACTTGAAGGTCATGTTTCCTATTTAAGTAAGCAATACAAACTGCTCATTGCATTGAATGATTTCATTTCAAAAAACAGAAACTAATATTTTTGAATACTGTGGAATACTTTATTCTCGCTGGGATTAATTTTTGCTGAAAAGGATTTTTGGGAGTTTTGTATGGAATATATTTTTTCTGATTTTTGATGAGTTCAATGTGAAATATAGGAAAAAAGTATATTCGCTGGATTTTATTTTCACAGAATCATCCCTTTAGCGAAAATGGCGAAAATAAAGTATTCTACAGTATATATATATATTCATGGAATTAACATACCGGTACTAATACTGCCACAAGTGTGGTTCAACTTTGTGTTTATTACTTCTAGTCCTCTATACTTCTAAATCTAGCTCTTCAGATTCATTGCATTTTTGTCTAAATCACTAAATATTGGATTTGATAATGTAAAGCTCTATGAGAAATACCATTTTTCATGATTACGAAATTTTTAATAATGCTAAGAAATGAACCGACATAATCGTAGAACATCATATAGTGCGTGATAACAAAAATTTGATCACAGGGAAGTTTATTATGTTACCAAAGCCCTTGCGAAATTATTTCAAAGCCACAACAGTTATAAATACAAATGTCGCTATTTTAGTTTTTTTTTACCTATTTGTTTATTTGAATTAAATTCCTTCATGATTAATTAATCGCATTACATAATGCGTAATGACGTCGTTCGAAAATAGACGCTACACATGTAAGACATTAGAAGTGGATATATACTTATTGCAGGTAAAAAAGAATCCTCTTGTTATGATGGATGATGTGTATATAAAGAATGAACCTTACGGCGTTTGTCTGATACTCGGTGCTTGGAATTACCCAATACAACTGACACTGCTACCATTGGTCGGTGTTATCGCTGCTGGTGAGTACGGCTGCTCGTTTTTTCATGACATGATTGATTTATCGTTGATAATATCAAAGTCATTGATTTCTTATATATAATACCAGAAGTCATTGATTTATCGTATTCAATACCAAAGTCATTGATTCATCATATACCATACTTCCCTGATCAGAAGCCTCTCCCTGAGTACAAGCCACTGTTCTATTTTTAGACATTTAACAAGTTGAGAGCATCCCTGATTTTAGGCCCAGGGTGTTTTACCGGGCGTTGACAACATTTATTAAAATATGCGTGTAGTGAATGTGTTTCATTGCATAAAAATCATGAGGTATGGTAGTTTGGTTTGTGCATTTATGAAAAAACTCACATCAATTTCAGTGTGCAGTGGCGTCCTTTCGCAACAGGGTTCGCACTTTTTTTATTCTGTTATTTACTCAGGATGAACCCCAATGTAGCAATACTGAAGTAATCCATATCTCTTTGAGTGGTAGTTTTCATAAACGCAAAAAATGTGACTGTCAAGTCATGAAACCTGGTCATTGGACATTGTTTTACTTTTCTGAAAAAATCATGTCCATTGAGACTATCGTGAATGGGATGTGAGCGAGTAAACGATTCTTCAACCTGACTTGTTAGCGATCATAAAGGTGTTGTTTTATCAAAATCAGTGCTAACAAACATTTTAACATCGCAGTAATTCACTTCCACATTGCGTTAAAAACATTGCATCAGTACGACACACCATTTTGATTGGTTAATGAAAGACTTGACCTGTTAGGTCAAAGGACGTTGTTTCAGGTCTAATCGTGCTGAAAATCAATCATGTCGGAAATTGCTTTGCATGGGGAGTTTGCAAATTTCACACATACATCATACATGATATTATACATATGCACGTCAATTTGTTTCACGATCTAATTCAAGATGGCCGAATGGCAGCCATTTTGTGCTAAAAAATCATAAAAATCAATTTTTTTTCGTCAAAAAGACCTAATATCCCCCACACTTGGCATGGTGAACGAAAGATGTAATTTGAATAATTTGTTGTGGGTGGTAAGATGGTTACAATGTTAAATCCCCAAAAAATCATCTTTTCTGGGGTGGTCCTCGGGTATAAGCCCACCCCTTACTTTCCCTGATTTTACATGTTGAGGCTTCTCAGGGGAGTACGGTATTACACCAAAGTCATTGATTTATCACATATTACACCAAAGTTGATTGTTTTTGTTTTATTCTGTTAACAGGAAATACTGCTGTAATAAAACCGTCTGAAGTATCTGCCAATTCTGCTGACCTAGTTGCCAAGTTGATTCCGAAGTATTTAGACAAAGTAAGTTGTTACAGTAGGTACATGTACACAATGGTTGTACTACAAAAACAGTTGAATTCATCTCTATACCAAGACAACTTCTCAAAAACAGTTTGAAGCAGTTTTTTTTAGTGTCTATAGATGCCTTGATGTCTGGATTGGATTGGTATTAATAACTTTAGCCTAATATTATCTAAATGAGCCTCGAAAAACTGTCAGAACAAAAACAGTAGAGCTTGTATTGGCTGATGGCAGTTTTAAAAAAACACATTTAATTTGATTTTGTGGGCTTCTCTGAACTTGTAAGTGAGAGTGCTTTTATGCAATGCATACAGCTTGCAGCTGATCATGAACATGCCCTTCTCTGCAGTTTCTACTTCTCCTAATTTCCTTATTTAGGACTGCTTTTCAGTGATCTGTGGTGGTGTAAAGGAAACCACTGACTTGTTGGAAGAGAGATTTGATTACATCATGTATACTGGTGGAGGCAACATTGCTAAAATTATCATGACAGCCGCTGCCAAACACCTGACACCAGTAACTCTTGAGTTAGGTGGAAAGAGGTGAGTATTAAGAGTGAAGTACAGACCATCCAATGATCATCAAGTTTAATTAAAGACAAGTGGTTATGACTTTACACCTAATCATGGGTGATGACCGGTCACTGGTAGCATAGTGGTTGTCGCACCAGACTCATGATAGGTAGACTCAAGTTCAAATCCTACTTTAGGCTGAACATCAAAATGGTCGACCCCTACCCTGGGTGAGTGTGCCACAGACTCAATGGGAAGGCCAATTCCACTGGCCGAGATTCATTCACTAACGAATGCGACTTTGCGGGAACCTTGGTTAAGGTCCGCAGGTGCTTGTGTTCGACCGGGCCTGGTTGACGCCAGGATAGCGCATTACAAATTGCCATTTGACAGAGAGATGGCCACACAGCCCTGTCATGTAGTCCCAAACATGAATATGACTTCTGTGGCAAAATGCACTATGTGTCGTCGCTAGCACTTGCAATTTGCACATAAAAAAAGTCAGGAGAGACAACAGTGACACTTAATGTCTGGAACTGTCGCCTGGCACAAAAAAAAATATAAAAAAAAAAAATAATCATGGGTGATTTTCCAACCACACCCTAATTTCAAAATTGCATGTGGTTAGTCATGTCAATCAAGTCTATCCTTGCCAACTGAATTAAGAGTTTCATATCATTTTGACAGTTACTTTTATTCATTTATGTATCTATGAGCAGATTATGCACTTGACCACTAATATAACTCATCTCAGACAAATTAAAATAATCGAATCTGACTCCGATTTCACTAAACCCAAGCAAAAATAGACTCCTTTCAGAAAAAATTAAATTTCACAGAACATTTTTTTTATGGTAATGAAATCTCAAACTTCAGTTGTCTTGTTTTAACAACTTTTTCTTCTCTCGTAGTCCATGTTTTGTTGACAAGAACAGTGACTTAACAGTTGCTGCTAATCGCATTACCTGGGGTAAATTCGCCAATGCCGGACAGACGTGCATCGCTCCTGATTATGTCATGTGCGAACAGTCAATCCAAGATCAACTGGTTTCAAAAATTTGTCAGGCGATTGAGAGCTTCTACGGAAAGGTCAGTGATGGGAGTATAATAATTAAATGCATATGATCCAGTAACCAGTGACCTTTTGTCATGCAAATAATGTTATTTTATTTATTTCATTAGGATTGTGAGAACATTAACATGTCATAGTTCACTGAACGTCATCGTGTTCATCGTTTCATATACTGTATAGGTCATTTGCTAATTTACTTTATTTTGCAGAATCCAAAAGAGTCAAAGGATTATGCAAGAATTGTTAATGATAGACATTTCCAGTGAGTATTGCACCTTTTGATTGACATAATTTCTTCCACCAAAATAAATTTTTCAATAATTTCTTAGTTAATTTTTGACTGATTCCCAATAACTATATTTAGTCCCCGTTTGGACGAAGTCCGATGAGAACACACCCATCGTGATCCTACCAATGCCATTTCACTCAGTGTCATCCTTAGAATCCCTCTTGATCCACCAATGCAATTCTGTACAGAGCTTTCCCTGATTCACCAATTCAATTCTCATTAGAACTCCTCTCAAGCTACCAATGCAATTCTCTTCAGAACCTCTCCTGATGTGAAATTGCCATTCTGATCACAACCTTCCCTCATCTACCAATGCCATTCCCTTCAATGCATTCCATGACCTAATAATTCCATTCAGAGTATCTCTGAACCTAGTAAGTTATTCCCTTCAGAGTATCCCCAGACATAGTAATTCCATTCTTCTCTGAGAATGTCTGAACCTAGTAATGCTGTTCTTCTCAGAGCATCCAAGGATCTGTAGGAATGCCATTCTGCTCAAAGCTTCTCCAGACCTAGTAATACCATATTTTTGGGCATGCATCCTTTGCTTTGCCAGTCTCCTTATATAACCCCAAGATAGCACCTCCTGTAAGTCTTTTCAAATACTCACCATTTCTCATACTTTCACGATTTCAGACGTTTAACTGACCTCATGAAATGTGGTAAAATTGTAATTGGAGGCGATACAGATGAATCTGCTAGGTACATTTCCCCGACAGTTGTTACTGATGTCAAACATTCTGATCCTGTCATGGAACAAGAGGTACATTTGTACAAATTATACGTGTGATTTTGTGAATAGTAATTCAGTAGAACAAAACACCTAAATTCCTGAAATGTGAACCTGATTTGGCTTTATTGTAAACTGGTTAATTTTTGTTACTAGAAATTTTCACTTAATGACAAAATGTGCCTCTCACAGTTCGCCAGTATAACATATGAATGTTAATGACATTGATGAATTCAAAAATTTAGGGTGGGGTGGGGTTGGGGTGTCTCATGATCTCATTAATGTGCATAAACATAAAAAAAAACTATAATTATAAGCTGCATGATCGTCGCAACCAGTCTACATTTTGATGAAAACTTTCTTTCTTTGTCAACAACAAAAACATCCATATACTAGTAGCAACAGTTCTGGTTTTTCAGTGGACCAAAAACATGCCAGTTGCCAGTGTATTGAAAGGTCATTTTAATCCTGATTTTTGTAGTTGTGTTTCAAGAAACACTAATTTTAAAGCAATGATTTTACTTGAATTCTTATGATCTATTCAAATTTGTTAGTAAGTCAATCTGTAATTGATGTCAGATATTTCTATTATCTATGTTGTGCCTCCAGTCTTTGCCTCATAGCACATTCTTCTAAGCTTTCTTTAATTAATTCAAGTCTGTTGAATTTCTTTATTAGGTTTTTGGTCCCGTTTTGCCAATTTTTACTGTGGATAATGTCCAGGATGCCATTAATTTCATCAACAGCAGGTAAGTAGTGTACAGTTTATGTGTACGTGTTTGAAGTGATCAGTGATAGGTAGGAAACATTCCATGGTGTACATGATATGCTTTCCGTTTGCAGAACATGATAGCATTGCATTAAATGTGGTCGATAACAAAATATAACAGCATTGTCGTCAATGTGACTGCCAAAAGCTATTATATAATACATTGTAGCCAGTTTCACAGTTTTACCATGGATGATGTTGCCATAGTTCTGCTCTGTTTGTTTCATTGCAGAGAAAAGCCCTTGGCACTATATGTATTTTCTAAAGATAAATCGGTAATTAAAAATATGATTGACAACACATCTAGTGGTGGTGCATGTGGGAATGATGTTATGATGCACGCTGGTGGTATGTACTCACTTTCGTATTTATTTAGTGTACCTTCTAAGCCAATCAATTTTGTGACACAACTAATTGTGCTCATTTCATGGCTTGTCATTAACTCAATAGAAAATCATGCATAGAAAAATTTACATTGAAAAAAAATATCTAGTTGAGACATTTCAAATTTCATAAACTTTAGGAAAATAAATGTGAAAATGAAGGAAAAAGGGACACAAAATTTGTTTTTGCACTTTCAGTAGTTACACTTGTATACATTTTTTCTTTTTTTTTTCACAGCAGTTAACAAGTTGATCTAAATTAAATAGATGTAACGGTATATTTATTTTATTCACCTTCAAATATTTATTTTTATCTACTTTTGGATAAAATAAGTAGAAAGTAGCAAACAAGCTACTAAATCATTGAACAAAAAAAAAAAGGGTTATTGACCCGATGTTGGTCGGAGATGTCTCTCTTACTAGGCTCATTGAAGAATTGGCAAGACCAGTGCCGTCGTTGTTGCCAAGGCTGGTGGACGCCGCCATATTGGTTTCTTGTAGCTGACGTATAGCATCGACTAACTTGCGCAAACTTTGCAAATTTTGACGTAATTCAGTTATATCGCAGCGAACCTTGTCATCTGGAACGGACGAACGAACGAACCTGGTCAGAAGAGTCTATGAATGAAGGAATGCTCGCCATCACTCGCTGAGTCGTTGTACGGCTGGAAGATTTGACGTCATCAGTATTGTTAGCAGCATTGCATTGAATCGGTTCAACAACGCGGTCTTTATTTAACTCAAATGTCCATAAAAGTGCTTTCCTTGACGTGTTGGGGGGCAACCGAATGCCCTAGCACGCAATCTTCTCCCTCAAATCAGCGACAGACCAATTTGAAGGATTGGAGAGATCGAGACCTTGACTCCTAAGTTGACGAGTTGTAGCAGGCAGACGTCCTGAACTTGTGTCAGCTAATGTGGACGGAGTTGGATCTACATCGTTAAGTAGCGAAACCTCCGCTGCGCTGCGTTTCCGACCCCGGCGATGCATAGTGTTGCTCTCCATGGTGTTTGGAATATATTCGTGAGGAGTAAATTCAAGTGAATTTAAACTCTGAGAAAATCAAAACACTGGACTTAAAAACTGAACTGTTCAAGATGGCTACAAACTAAAGACTGCGTCACACGAAGTCACGTGATAAACTGGCGAGATTCATGTCATAAACACTGTTTAATGCTTACACAATAAACATATATTAAAATAAATAAAAGAAAATATACAGACTACCAAATAAAAAAAAGGCTCAACAAATTTATAACCAGCTTAAAAATTGACCTGTTTTAGTTTGAAAAATAGTAACATTATCTCAGCTGATTTAATATCAACAATAATTAATGTGTTCCAAATATTGAGAAGAATTGATATTGAAAATGAGTTAAACCCATTGAAAGTCTTTTTGATTGTTGTGATTTTTAATTTTCTGAATCCTCAATTTCAGATTTTCTATTTGGTAATAAGCCCTGAATAAAACTTGATTTTTGGGATTCCATTTTGATTAAAGGTCACTACAAAATCAGTCGTTACCTCTGACATTCACAATTAGGTTTGTTTCTTTGTAGGGAAAAAAATGAAGCAGAAAAAAAAAGGAGATCAGCTCAATTTATGAAATTAATGTATAATTTTTTATCTTTTATGTACCTCTTGTTAATAATAATATTCATTTGCTTTTATTTTACAGTTAATACCTTACCATTTGGTGGTGTTGGCGGAAGCGGTATGGGTGGTTACCATGGTAAATTCACCTTTGACACATTCTCCCATAAGAGAAGTGTTTTGATCAAGAGCCAAGGTCTTGAGAAAGCTAATAGGTAAGATTTCATTTCCTTGTTTTCGCTTTATATTTATTCGCAAAATAGAAAATAAATTATTTTTACATATGGATGAAATCTGGTTATTTGACAGCAAGGGAAAGGTGGTGGTACACTGTCATATCATGCTCTCCAGATTACAAGTTTATTAACATGAAATTTGATTTATGTTTGAGTACATTATACAGCAAAAGTATTGTCCAAGATACGTAGCATCAAGGACAGTACCGAAGTACATGATGTATAAGGACATAAATTCTGGTATTTTGTTAATAATCTTATTATTATTAATCATTTTTGAAGAAAAGTTTAGGTAAACTCTTGGTCAGTTATCAGCGTTGAATAGTGTTGTAAGGCACTGGTTCGCAAGCAACTGAAACTAGCGAACATTAGTTTCTATTTATCCTGACAATTTTACTAGCATTTATTTCAATTTTCCATTCATTGTGAGATCCTGTGTAATGCATGAAACTGAACATAAAAACAGGACAAACAAAGGTCATTGCATTGTAATGGTGTCAAAACATTGCATGGGATTTGATTTTGGAAGTAATTTCCACACTTATTAATGTGCCAAGGTCGGATAGGAATTTTGACATTGAACTATAAAAAAGTAAATCCAGGTTTAAAAAAAAAAAATCATTCTTTTTTGCAGCAGATGTTCGAACCATGTCTTTCATGTATTATGCAAGATCTTGCAGTGAGCGGAAAATCATGCATGGCTTGTTTATTCCATTTTGTACATTTTTATTTTAGGGTAATGAGGGTTCTTCCATCCACCAATACTAAGTACTAAATGAATTAGATCCTGAACCTGAAATAATAAATGAATTTTTTCAAACATTAGTCTGGATTTTGTTTTTCTGTAGTAGTTTGAGGTATCCTCCATACACTGAAAAGCAGCTGGATTGGATGTTGTGGTTGATGAAGAAATCCCCAAAGAGGACTGGACTTGCAAGCTGGTTCCCTCTAATGGTGCTTGGTGTCGTCATTGCCTTTGTCTTTAGGGTAAGTATAAGTAGGATCAAGGGCTCATCAATAAAATTGCTTATGATATCAGTTGATATTGTTTTTAATTTAAAGTGGGGGTGTCGTCACCTGCATCAGTTGGCCATAGCGTGTCATTGTTTACAAACAAACGTCTACACGTGAGCCCTTGCGTTTTTAGCGTGTGTTGTTATCGTCGCTTGGGACTCAATTCCTACATGTACGCAGGTGACGACCTTCCCGCTTTAATACTGCAACCAACAGTTGCTTCCAATAACACTTGCGAAAACATCTTGTTATAACAGGCCACCAGTTGACCCATGCCAACATCATGTCCTAACATGATGGTTCACAACGTAATAACATCGTGTCATAACTTTCCATAACATCATTACATAAAATTGTGTCATAACAGGCCACCAGTTAGCCATAACTTTGCCAACATCGTGTCATAACAGGCCAGAAGTTGGCCATAATTTTGCCAACATCATTTCATAACAGGCCAGAAGTTGGCCTTAATTTTGCCAACATCATGTCATAAGAGGCCACCAGTCAGCCATAACTTTGCACAAGTAGAAACATCATGGTAACATAACATTATGTCATAACAGGCCACCAATCAGCCATAATTTTGCACTTCATCAAGTAGAAACATCATGGTATCATAACATCATGTCATAACATATTATTGGCACACATTATCATTCATTGTTTTTGTTTATCATCATAAACCCCACTAGCAGTAGAAGCAGTGTGGCTGAATAGATTCTTTTAGCCTGACACAAGTAGAAGTAGCTGTACTTGAAATATCAGTATGCCCACACTCATGTGGGTGTTCAGTCATTAGAATAGCTAGATTTGTGACAATTTATTTACTGCATATACATTGTATATTCATATTCAGAGAACACAAAAACTTGTTTTGACTACATATGATACATCAACATGCTTCTGGGGATACACAACATGAAACTCTCTTTTTGTAAAATCAATCGTCAGGCATTGTAATGAACATGTGACTGAGACTCCCGATGTATATTCAAGGTTCACCGTTTTCATTGTGTCACCGACCAATCACTTTCAAACTTTATACATACATCATATATCATGTTGCACATATGGCTGACTGGTGGCCATTTTGCTTTAATGAATACAATTCCGGAGTCATATTTCAGATTCACCTGACCATTCTTATTCAAACTGTATATACTTCTTTAACTTGAAAACTCACAGGGGTTAATGCAATTATTCTATGTAACTATAGTAACTATTAACAACAGTTGTATTTGACTTGTTTTCAGGCTCTTGGTTTTGGTAGGTATATACCACAGAGTTTCAGATAAGTAACCATGGCGATACACAGTGACCAAATGGCAAAGCTTTTAATATCAAGTGATTCTTGAAAACTGTATATGTATAATTTTATGAATGATCTATACAAGGATTCTTAGTATTCTGTATATTCTGGTGGATGTTTAGTATATTAAGCATTTTAGTGCCAAAGACAAGTTTTGTCATTTCTTCACAAAATTGATACACACACTATTTTTTTTCCAAAAATGTTGTGCAAAACCTGTAACCAATTGTCTTTGTTTTGTTCAAAATTATCAACAAGTTGTTAAAACAATACCTAAAAAGAGGTAAAATTTATGGCACTGAAATGATTAATGTTGTGTTATTGGGAGGGGGGGGGGCAGAGAGTGTATAAATTCTTTATTGATGCTATGAACAATATTTACATTATGCATTTGTTGGTAGATGAATATTGTTTATTATCACTTTATAAAATGTGGATTATGTGAAAATGAATTGTAAATTAACTTTGTTTTCAAAAGTAAAGCATATTGCAAGCATGTGTATAAAAAAAAGTTATGTTTCTGGTCAGCATGTGCACCACCAACAAATTGCGGGCAAATCTTTTTTTTCACTTTCCGGTTTTTCGCCATTGTAAAGCAGCCTCTGTTGAAAAATTTTAAAATGTTGTGCCTCATCAAATATTTTGGCAAAAAAAAAAATTGCCTCACTGCCCCATTTGTAAAAAAACAAAAACAATTTGACCAGAAACATTTTTTTTAGAATTTAGCATGTGGGTTGTGTGTAAACATTTTTATATAATGACATTAAAAATTCTACTTACTTTAAAACTTACCGAGGGACTTTGCAACATCCACAGATACTTTCCTGGACACTCCAATGACCGTTGTATTTGCAATAAAGTTACATACCTGCTCACGTGACAGTTAATCGGAAAACCAGACGCCGCATGCCCTTGATGAATTTCCAGGCAGAGTTCTATTTCTATGAATATTCGGTGATCTAACTGCAAGGAACTCTGGGAAGAAGAATGGCCCTTGATATGTGGCCACGAGGAACGAGGGGTTGTTGGACTATTCCATTCCTTTGTAGGCACAACAATCATTGCTGTGTAACACTTGGGAGAAATATAATACTAACATAAAAATGGGAAATAAAAATAATAAACGTAAATTCCTTTGATTCCCAATTTTTCGCATAATGGCTGGTCCCATTGCCAGTTTCCCAGAACACTCATCGCCCAGTCAAAATTTCCCTGGAATCTTCTACGTGTACTTATTTTCACACCGTCATCGAATACCAGTTTCAAATATCCTTCAGAATACAAGAAATCCATGTAATATAATCGACGACGGTCGCGACTCCTATCGGAACGTATCCAATCGATACACCAGAAATGCCGCACAATCCCTTGAACTGTTGCCCTTGCTAGTCTGACTTCCTCTATCATCGATCATTCGCAAGAGGCGAATAATCTCCATCTCAGTGTCAGTGACACACCGGTAATAGCAATAATTGTTCTCATGAGGGTAATTTCATTATATGTTAGGGACGTTTTTAAATATTTGTATCAACTAGGTTTATTATTTTCGCGAAATGTTCAAAACCGTTCAAATCAAAACATGGTCCGTTGTTTTGATTAACTGTCACGTAGGCATGTATGTAACTTCATTGTGTCTACAACGGCCACTGGATCATCTGGGGATGTTGCAAAATCCCTCGGTAATTACCTACCGGGAGCAAGAGGTGTATGTAAATATCTTGCGCTCGTTGTAAAGGGCCCTTAAAAGGCCATAATTTTGCATTGCATGATTGCTGTCCCTAAAAAGAGATCAAGTACATGCTTGTGTACATACTTGTCTTTTGTAACAATCTTTCAATAATATAAAAAAAAATATGAAAGTAAAGAATTTTCACAATATTGCTGAATTTCCTGATGTCTCTAATTTTCGACCTGAACCAAGTCACAAACCATACTGTATACTGAGACTGAGACATTGTTCTTCTGCTCTGTATCAACTGTACCAAAGCAAACAGTTCCAATTAAAGGTTTAGTCACTGTCACAGTATGTATTCTGTGGTCGATACTTAGGTCAGTGTCCAGAATAAAGGAAATCAAGGTTGTGGGTTATTCCAAGTTTTCAACTCTAACTCCAGCGTTATATTCATTCTAATTTGGTGAAATGTAATTACATGTATACATACATGAATATGTAGTTTCAATAAATATAAAATATGTGGGTTTAATCATATTTCAACAAGAATACAAGAAATCATGTAACATAAGCAGTAGATTTCCTAATAAAGATATTAAGTAAATAAAAAAAATTTACTATGACTCAATGAACTGATACTGGTCAGAAAACAATTGGTATGCAGTACAATCTATCTCAAATCTTCCGTTTTTCTCCAAGTACTGAAACGGCACTTATAAAAGTCCACGGTAATATTCGCTATTCCACCAACTCTGGTCATTATTTCTTACTAAGCCTCTTGAATTTGACAATATTGGCTATCACTTATTACTCGGGTTGTCTGAGCCTGGTATACTTATAAACAAAATCACCTGCCACACTTTAATCTATGCTATTTTATCAGCTATTTTACTGACTCCCTGGCATCAATTGTCTTCAGCAAACTTAAAATACTGCAGCAAGATTCATCACTTGTTCAAGAAAACAGTATCACATATCACCCGTTCTTAAAAGCCTTTACTGGCTCCCAGTTTCAAACAGAATTGACAGCAAAATGTTACTGTTTACTAATCTTCAAATGGTCTCACTCCAAACTTGGACAACTAATAAACAGACTGGCAACACCGATATTTCTTATGATCTAACTCGTGTCTCTGTCTACTTTGGAGATAACGTTTTAATCTTGTATACAACTGGGAGAGATGAGAAAATGTCCATGAAGTCGCACAATAATACACGACTTTGCGAGAAACTGCGGTGTTTCAACAGGAAGTGACGCAAAAGGTCAGACCGAAGTTTCATATTTTCCTTACGTTAGTGATTCTCACAAGCCCACAGACATTCATAAAACAGGACCAGGTAACAATAAAAAAAAAAAGTATAAAATTCAGTTGCAGGTCAAACTAAATAGCAATGGAAATAAATCAGCTGAAAGCAAGTAATAAGCGTCTCTCGATGAGACATTTCTACACGTATGTACAAAAACAAAATAGCGTCAGTACATTTTCAAGACCGTTATATTAATTTTGCCTTGATTCAGTTGACTGGTACAGTTTTTGTCCTGATGTATCATATTTTCAATGGCTTTTTTAATACATGATCGGCAAAATATAGTAACATAAGCGCAGCTTTGTTGTGAACATGGCGACATGATCTATCCTGGAAAAAATCGAGTAACTATCAAAGAAAATTTAGCATGTGTGTTCCGGTAATAGTTGTTCCTTTTTCTTAATTGTAATTCAATAAAATTACTATGAAGGTAGTCTATACATTCAAATAATCGTTACTTTCTTAAAATATGGTCAATTTTAGCTAAAAATATATTATTCGTCAACTCAACGTAAAACTCAATTCCGGGGGATCTGATCTGAACCGAGTACAGAGAATAAGTGAAATGCACGCGAGACTGAGGATTCCCGATGTGTGTACTCGCCATTCGGTAAAGCATAGCCGAGACGCACGTTTAGGCTGATTGACACGTCTAAACAATAGCTTTGCCAGACTGTTTATTAATAATCTGAGCTCTAAACTACATCTGTTTCAGTAATCTTTCAATCATACGTACCTGTTAAGGCTCTCTGTTCTGCAAACAAGAATCTACAAAAAACCCACAAAATACAAACAAATTACGTAGTGGTCCTGCTTTTTCTCTTGCTGCTCCTCAACTTTGGAACAATTCATTAAGTCTGATCATCTTCCGAAAAAGTATGGTGTGATGTAACTTCAGCACAATATAACATTACATTTTGATGAATTGGGGCACTTTTATAAATTTTGTATTTATTATTTTTGTGCCTATCGGTACTGCTGTTAAAATTTCCTTTGCCATCAATCGAGACTGGCTTCTAGAGGCAATAATTAGTGGTTATTTGCGACTAATGGCAGAGATGACATGTGCTAATGTGGGAAGCATATTGATATTGTTTTCTACAATACTATATCTGGTATTATCTTTTTATGACATTTGCAACTACGTCAGTAAGAAAAACATAAAACAGTCTATGAA